AAAACAGCCCGCAGCACATCTGATGCCGACAGGAAATGGTCGCTGAAAGCTGCACGGCTTTAGTGGGTGCATTATCCCCAGTGCTCCATTCAGAGGGGGCCCTGGTAGGTCTCAGAAAAAGAAGAGACTTCCAGAGGACAGCGTGCAACTAAGAGAAATCCGGCCAGATCGAGGAACCGCAAAGGAATCAGCGGCGATGGTGGGTCCTCGGAGTCCCTACCCAGCATGAGCTCGTCACTGCCGGCGACCCAGGACGTTCCGTTTCTAAGACACGTGATACAGGGCAGGCTCTCACTGGGTTCAGCCACTGAGGTTTCAGGGTTAATGTGTAATAGTGACTGGTGTTGTCTTAACGTTTGTCTCTCTTCCCCTCTCCCTAGTATTTAGCACACACTGCTTGTTGCTATTGGTAACACTTCCCTGACCATTTTTAGGCTTAAGTAGCCTAAAAATATATAGCTTAAGTAGCAGTTGAGGCAACTGTTTTTATACAGTTTGGTTGAAATTCTGATTAATATCAGGTAACAAGTTATCATCTTTGTTTTAAGAGACAGAATTCAGTGAATTTTTTGAATAACTTGTTTTGAAAATTCCTGATGAAAGTATTTGAAGCCATGATCTATGTGGTTGGTTTAAGAATTTGGGGACCTAATCATCATTTGTTCCTGAGGACTTGGAGTTATTTTTTAAGAAAGTCCTTATTTTGCTTGCAGGAAATCTGTTAGCCTCTTCTCGGCAACGATGGGATGGCCCTCCAGTTACGCGAAAGCCAAATGACACAGTCTTACCACGCGCTCGTCTGATTTTCAGAGGATGTGGGTTAAGCGTCTGGGCCAGACAAATACCCCTGAGCTCACTATCGCCTCACTTCCCTCGGAATCTCCCCAAACGCTGACATTTACTAAGCAAACACGCAGCTTATTCATGTTTTTGAGACAGTCCTACCTTTGGACCAGGCCGGCACATCAGGAGGTGGGACCATTTCGGCCCCCTGCCCGCCTCGTCTCCCCATCATTCTATTCCAGCCAATCCCTATGGAATTGTTTGGGCTGAAATCCACTTTTAAGTTATGCTTGATTTTCCTAAGGAGATTCCGCATTGAAACATTTCATAAAAAATGTTTCTTGTGAAAAGTGTCTGCTGCAGAAATGCTGCTGAAGACATTGTCTACTGCGCTGCATTTTACAAAGCTGAAGAAACAGAGGAAAATGCCAAAATTTGTAAAGTTTGGGTGGTGGATGCATAGGTGTATATTTATTATTCACTGTGCTTTGGCGTGTTTTTGAACTACTTTATAATAATGTTAATAACAGCAACAATGATAGCAACAACATCACCAAATTTCTTGCTGGCCAGTGGCAGCCACCATCAAAATTCCGTGACCACCCTTCCATCACCTCTCTGCTAGGCAGTGGTCAGGAGCATGTGTGAACAACTTCTACGTGTGACGGACCCAGCTTCGGCTATGCTGCTGCTGCTGTCCCTGCTTTCCAACATTGGGTGATTTCGCTCACGCTTTGTGAGGAGTCAGTGAGAGGGTGTGTGTAGCATGCTCAGCACGGGGCCTCGAACACAGTCAACATAGTCAATAAATGTGAGCTGTTGCCATGTATGTGATGGTTGGGTGATTTCGCTCACGCTTTGTGAGGAGGCAGTGAGAGGGTGTGTGTAGCGTGCTCAGCACGGGGCCTCAAACACAGTCAATAAATGTGAGCTGTTGCCATGTATGTGATGTTGCCTAAATGGTCCATGCCATGGCGGCTTTCTATGCCAGTAAATATTATTTGTGGTAGTAAACAAATAAAAATAATGGTAGAGTCCTAAAAATTTCAATGCTCTAGAGAAACTGAGTATTTTATCTTTATGGCGTGTGTACTTCCAGCTACAAAGAAGTTCTGGCCAAATTTATGCACGTGGGCGAGACCTTATGACCTAGATAATTATGATCTACTTTCCCCTTATTTTGGAGCCCTATTTTTTGTGACTTACTCTAATTCCCAACTTCATTTTATGTTCCCCTATAAACCACCTTAGACCCTTTGCACAGTGTGGTTGGGATGCAAGGAAGGGAAGAGAAGAGCCATGGACGGCAGGAAGGAAGGAAAGTAAGAAGAAAGGATTTGCAACACAAGACTTTGGAATTATTCATTGCAGTGTTCAGTTCTTGGGTTCATGCTAATTGGCATAATTTCTCCTCACATACAGTACTTCTTCCGGTGCTCTCTGCCTGCCTGGGGTTTGTTTTACATTTTGACTGGCATTAAGCCTTTAGCTATTATCCCTGGTGCAACTGTGAGTTTTCATAAATGACGCCACTTGAGGGTTGTCACGGGTTCTGGTTCACTCCGGTGTCTGACAACTCCTAGAGTCAGTTCTTCATTATCTACGTGGAGGCTGGGCACTTTGTTTTCTGGCAGCAAATGTTTCATCCAACGTCAATTTCCCTCAAGTGCTCAGCGCCATTTCAGATGGTGTGTGCTCAGGGAATGCAAATTAATTTAATGTTAGCTTCGGCGAAACCCTGCTAGGAAAGTAAACCTGCTTTTAAAAACATTGTAAACACTGGTAAACATCGTTTAAATTATATGATGTTTGAGTATATATAAAGGTATAAAATTTCACTTAAATTCTAAAGGCCTCATTCATAGTACTTTTAAACTTATCTTTGTATTAGCCTTTTGTTTTTGATTAGAAGTACATTTTAATTTGACGTTATTTAAATATCTGTGTCATTATATTTATAACTGGAGGATATCAAAATAGGTTGTGGATATATGTTTCATATTTTGGTTCAGTTATAAAAATAAAATGTGTTTCTAATAGAAAATTAGGAAATACAGAAAACTAGAGGAAATTAGACTATTTGTAATCCCTTCACACGGAAATAATCATAATGAGCATTCTATTCTCTCTCTCTCCATACACTTTTGAGGCTACAGGAGTTCTCAAGATGAATTTGTGGATAGCTTCAGGAAAACACCGGGGTGGAGGGAGGCGAGGAGATGGAGAGAGGGGCTTAGTGGCATTCTTCTCTTTGTTTGATCTTCCTGGCCCCCTAGATTCTCTTTCGAAAATTTGGGTTCCCTTTCCTCAATTCCATGATCTACCCCAAAAATTCTTCCTAAAAATGAATTCTGAACTGGTTTTCTGTCATCTGCGACCAAAAGGACCCTGAGCAGCCGAATCAGACTCTCCCCAAACCCTCTGTCAGTCCCCTGTGTTCTCAATTCTCCAGCTCCCGGCTATCTGCAGTTCTCTGGCTTTCTGTGCTTCAAAAGCCCCATGGTCTTGAAGTGGTCCGCCCATCTCCCCTCCTGCAGGGCGAACTCTGATTCACAGCAGCTCCGATGAAGCTCATGTTTGTTCTACGATCGTTGCTGTTAGTTCCAGAGACGCCCCAGTTGGCAGAATGTGCCAGAACGGAGGCCTTTGGAAACGGAATTCACTCCAGACTCTCATTTTGGGAATTATACATGGAAATGGAATCACTCAGCCTGTGACCTCTGCGCTCCCCTCCCGCTCACCCCACCCTCACCTCTGCATGTGCTTCCACGGCCCACGGGATGTGGTTCTGATAAACAAGGCGTTTTCTTGGGGAAAGTGAGGGTTCACCCTGCAGGAGCCTATGGCTGTCGCAGGCCTCCTCTGTTATACTGATCCTAAAAGCAACCGTTGAACTCTTTTTAACTTTCCATATCATTTTGCAATGGCGAAGTGGCAAGATAAGTCACTTACTTTTAAAGAGAGGACAGAAGGCATAGTTTAAAGCAAGAAAATGTCTCCTATAAAAAGCCAATAAATACAATGTTGATAAAATGGTATAAATCATACTAATACTGGACTTGCTGGTTTTTCCAAATAAACCTTGAGCTACGGTTAAAGCTGGGCTTGATTCACCCAAATCGATAATTTGCAGCATCTAGTACATGCCAGGCACTAGGCTAGGTGCAGGGACTCTGTTCGAACCTATGACATAACCTTATTTACATCACATTCGACCGATTGTACAATAAGCCGTAACTGCACGTTGTCATTTTCCTAGGAAAGACCTCTCCTCAATATACCCTCTAGCATCTACTGCGAAGGCCAAGCTTAAACTCTCTATCAAGTTATGAATTTGACATCTACCAGTGCTCAAAAAGAGACAGTGTTTGTGCCTTTTCTTTGCAACCTGAACTTCCCTCGGCAACGAGCCGAATCTGAATGAGGTCCGCGAGGCAGCTGAACCCCTGCCAAATGACACTCCACTCCACTGGCAAAACAGCATCCCCCGCTGTTCTTTTTGCTGACAGGTATCTATTTTGAACTCCTTCTAGAGAATGCAGTGACAGTTCTCATCCTTGATCTTTTGGCTTAGTTCCCAGGGAGACCTCCTCATGCTATGTTTTATTCATAGTGTCTCCCAGGCTAGTTTCTTCCTTGTGAGAATCGGTGGTAGGGGTAGGAGCAATCAATGAACCTGAAATCAAATCTGAGTGTCATAATAACACCGTCCCTTTGTGTGTCGAAAGCCTACGACCAGAGTCAGAGATTCTGGGGACGGTCTGTGTTTTGAAGATGTTTAAGGCAAAGCATCCACAGGGACAAAAACACAGTTACTCATACCGTGGTGG